CACTTCTCACCTTGTCACCCCACTCACCCTGTCACCCCACCTCTTACTCTGTCACCCACCCTGTGACCCCCCCACGCTATATCACCCCCCCCTTACTCTGTCACCTCACTCTGTCGCTCCCTACACACTAGGTCACCCCACACTTTCACCCCCTCACACTATGTCACCCCTCTTATTCTGTCACACTCTGTCACCCTCCCTCTCACTATGTCACCCCCCACATTATGACACCCTCCCTCTCACAGTAGGTCTCCCCCCTCTCACACTAGGTCTCCCCCTCTCACACAGTCACACCCCTCTCGCACTATGCCACCCCTTCACACTGTCATCCCCCTACATTATGTCACCCTCCTCTCACCCTGTCACCCCCTCTTACTCTGTCACCCACCCTGTGACCCCCCAAACTGTCACCAACCCATACTCTGTTGCTCCCTACACACTAGGTCACCCCACCTCACACTTTCACCCCCTCACACTATGTCACCCCTCTTATTCTGCCACACTCTGTCACCCTCCCTCTCACTATGTCACCCTCCCTCTTACTTTGACCTGTCACCCCCCTCTTACTCTGTTACCCACCTTCACTATGTCACGCTTCCTCTCACTCTGTCACCCCCCTTACACTAATGTAACCCTCTCTCACTATGTCACCCCCTCTCACATTAGGTCTCACCCTCTCACACGGTCACACCCCTTCTCACCATGTCACCCCCTCTTACTCTGTCACTCACCCTGTGAGTCCCCACACTGTCACCCACCCGTACTCTGTCACCTCACTCTGTCGCTCCCCACACACTAGGTCACCCCACCTCACACTTTCACCCCCTCACACTATGTCACCCCCTTTTATTCTGTCACCCTCCCTCTCACTCTGTCACCCCATCACACTATGTTACCCACCCTCTTACTCTGACACTCCCCTCTTACTCTGTTACCCACCTTCACTATGTCACCCTTCCTCTCACTCTATCACACCCCTTACACTAATGTAACCCTCACACTCTGTCACCACCCCTCACACTCTGTCACCACCCCTCACACTTTGTCACCCCCCACACACTCTGTCACCCCTCTCGGCACACACTGACACCCCTTCATACACACTGTCACCTCCCTCCATACACACTGTCACCCCCCTCCATACACACTGTCTCTCCCTCCAAACACACAGGCACCACTCTCCGCACACACAGGCACCTCCCTTCATTCTCATTGTCAACACTCTGGCACCCACCTCCAAACACTCTGGTACCCTCCTGCTCTTTTACACTCACCCTGCCACAGTTACCCCTTTACTCACCCTGTAACCTCCTGAAGGCAATAATTATACACACGGTCATAAAACATAGCTTCGCCATAAACTCAGTGCCAAAGGCCACAGGCAGTACACAAACATACACATGCTCAGAGAAACATACATACATATATAAGGATCCTCACTGCCAGACACACACAGGTAGACAATGCAACGATGTATACAAAGACTAGCTCACTATATCCAGTGCTGCAAGATCCCCCTTCAGTATATCTACAGCTTCTATTACACACACAAATCAACTGCTATTTTTTTCAATAATGGTGTTAGTGGGGGCCTCACGTAGGAGTTTCGCCTAAGGATTCGCCAAGTCTAGAGCCGCCACTGTATATATATATACACACTATTTACTATATGCAGGGCCAAATTAAGAGCCCAGTGGGCCTGGTGCGACAATTATGATGGGCCTAATTACAGAATCTTTTTGACCAAAAACACTAAAACAATCATACCTCCCAAGTGTCGTGTATCTGATGGTGTTGGAGGGAAAGAATGCAGCTATAAGAAAACACATACTCTATGATAATCTCTCTCTAATTTATGCTTTCATCTTTCAAGTAAATCCATACCCCCTAATAGCAGTGTCCAGTGAAGCAGGAAGTCAAGGGGTGGCGAAAAAGGGTGGGCCACTGACGCAAATCACGTGACCAGACCTGCCAAAAGGGGGGAACATGCCCAAAAAGGGGGCATGTTTGTCCAAAGAATTGGAAGGCCAGCCTGGCATGAATGCATGTCAGGCTGCCTGCCAATGATTCAGGCTGTCCAACTAAGGTCTATGCAGGCAGCACCCAAAGCTTAACATAAATGCATCAAATGATGCACCTACTCCACGCTTTCTAAGGACTGTCCGCTAGCACTCACATGTCCACTTGTCTCCTTATCGTCTTACTAGCAGGCAGAAGGACAGAGTAAAGTCTGCATTACCTAAACTACTTTTATTGTCAGCCAGTCCACACAAGTTTTGTTGCCATACATCCCTCTTAAGCTTCCAAACTTAGAGGGACACTATAGTCACCAGAACAACTACAGCTTATTGTATTTGTTCTGGTACGTAGAATCATTTCGTTTAGGCTTTTTGCATTATACTCTGTCTTTTCAGAGAAAATAACTCCTTAGATGGATGCTAGAGGTGCTTCCTGGGGCAGTACTGCCTAGTGTGCAGCACTGCCACTCAGTGTCTCCACCCTCTGCATGCAGACACTGAACTTTCCTCATAGAGATGCATTGATTCAATTTATCTTCATGAGCAGATGCTGATTGGCAAGGGCTATGTTTGACTTGTGCTGGCTCTGCCCCTGATCTGCCTAGTTGACAGTCTCAGACAATCTTATGGGGAAGCATTGTAATTTGCTCAGACCACCACTTCTGATGTCAATTCAGAGGTAGAGCCAGCATCTGCAGACTTGAATACAAGTAAGATTTTACTATATTTAGGGAGGCAAGAGGGGGTCAGGGGGGCTAGATGGTGGCTTTTACATAATAGGGTCAGAAATACATGATTGTGTTCCTGACCCTATAGTGTTCCTTTAAGCAAGAGTATGTGAAGAGTAGTTAGGGTTGCCACCTTTCTTGGAAAAATACCAGCCTTAATCATTTGTATAATTAATTAGTTATCCATGACATCACATGATGTAAATCACAAGGAGTGACATCAGAGAAAATTCAGTAAAATCACCAACAAACTACTCAGTTTGATTCTGCTGTATAGATGAATTGCTCCCAATGTCTCCCTGTCTCCCAGTATCTCAGTCTCACAAGTCACCCAGTGTCTGTGTCCCTATGTATCACAGTGTCAGTGTCCCCATGTCGCCCAATCCCATAGTCTCCCAGTGTCCCCATGCCTCAGTGTGTCCACATGTCACTAGGATACTAGGGGACACAGTGAGACATGGGGGCACTGAGACATTTGGGGACACTGGGAGACATGGGGGCACCTGTGAATACAGACATGGGGACACTGGGAGACATGGGGGCACTGGGAGACATAGGGACACAGACATTTGGGGACATTGGGAGAAATGGGGTCACTGAGACACTAGGGACACAGAGACATGGGGACACAAACACTGGGAGACATGGAGACACTGAAACATTTGGGGACACTAAGACATTAGGGACATTGAGAGACATGGGAACACATACACTGGGAGACTAGGGGACACTGGGAGACTAGGGGACACTGGGCGACTAGGGGACACAGACACTGGGGATACTGGGAGACATGGGGACAAAGACATTTGGGGACACTGAGGACACTGGCTGGGAGACATGGGGACACTGGGAGATATGGGGACTCTGAGTCACTAGAGACATGGGGACTCAGACACTGGGAGACTAGGGGAAACTGGGAGCCAAGTGGACACTGAGCCACTAGGGACACTGGCTGGGGTACATGGGGACACTGGGAGACATGGGGACACTGTGTGTGTCTCCATGTCTGTGTCTCCCAATGTCCCTATGTCTCTCAGCATCCCCATGTCTCACAGTGTCTTCTAGTGTCTGTGTCCCCATGTTTTCCAGTGTCCACAAGTATCTCAGTGTCCCCAGGTCTCCCAGTGTCCCCTAGTGTCTGTTTCCCTAGTGTCTCAGTATCCCCATGTCTCCCTGCTGCCTTTCCCGCCATCCTTCACTTGCCTGAGCTGCTGTCTGGACTCTCTGTGCTGTGTTGCTGTTCCCCATGGGTCAGTGAGTATAGATAGGCAGGGAGGGATATGCTGCAACTTCCTATCCCTGCCTGTCTCCACATACAGCGACCCCTACTGGCCAGTGCTGGTATTGCAGAGTAATCTCCATTTATACTGAGAAAAATACCTGCATTTGTATGGCCGGTATTACTGCAATACCTGCACAGCCAGGCAGCCTCAAATACCAGTCAGGTGGCAAACCTAAGAGTAGTGTTTGTAAAAAAAAATTTTTTAAAAATAATAAATAAATAAAAAAAATATATATATATATTTTTTTTAAATGGGCCTATTCCATGGGCCTGGGCCTGGAGCTCCATCAGCCCCTATGTTAATACGGCCCTGACTATATGAACAAGAAATAATGACATACTTTCAGTGAAAGTAAGATGAGTCATATAAGCTTAAACAATCAAGGGTTTATCTCACCATACTATCTGAAACACACACTTTGAAAAAGGTGACTTGTCTTTATCCAAATGCATTAATGGAACAGAAATTAAAATCTGTTATATATGTCTTGAATGAATAACAATGTGATGTGGTTGAGATTTTAGCTCGCTTGTAGTTTACCTAGGATGAAAACCCTCTTCAATCTGGCCTATTCTATAGAAACAGCCCTCATCAAACTCATGACCCAATAGCTCATGACCCAATCTAAAGGTAATTTGAAATCCCCTACCAGTGGTGTATTTTAAAATGGTGCTGCCTTAGGCATGACAGATCTTGGGCACCCCCTAATTTAAATGTACACGTCCCTTCCTGCCAAGGTCACTCTTCTTCCTGTTAACTACACACATTTTGACTGACAGACACACACTCCCAGACCAGCACACACTCACACATACACTCACTGATTTGACACAATCTGACAGACACATACAATCATTCAGACACACACTGACAGATGCATACACTCACTGACAGACACACATAAGCACTGACAGACGCGCCCACTTACTGACATACACACACACACTCACTCACTGCCTGACACACACACACTCGATGACTGACTGACACACACTGACAGACACACACACACACACACTCTCTGACAGACACGCACACACTGAGACATACACACTCACTGACAGACACAAACACTTACACATTCTTGCACACACTCACATAATTTTATTTATTGTTCCCTACATTTGGGAGCTTGTGTGGGGCCTCTCCCTGGGGTCCAGTGGGGATCTTCTCTCGGGAGGTATCCTACCTGCTCCTCACTACTCTCTCACGCACGCAGTTTAGTGATGTCAGGTGCCGGAATATGATGTAATCATCATTACAGAGGGCGCGCGTGACGGAGCAGTGAGGAGCAGAACAGATTGAGCTCCCCGCGCTGCCGCCAGCACCTTTCCTCCCCGGCCGGTTAATTTGAGCAGAGTAGGCACCTGCAGTGTGGGGAGAGGTGCCTACTCTGCCTTAGTAAGCATGCGAAACCTAGGCAGGACAAAACTCAGGTGCTCCCCAAACCTCATCCCCCAAACCCACCCCCCAATCCCCTCACGCGCGCGACCCCCACCCATCCCTTCCCCCTGCCCCGCCTTCTAAATACACACACACTCACTGACAGATACGCATACACTAGCTAACAGAAACACAAACTCACTGACACACACAGACACTCACTCACTCACTAGCAGACACACTAGCAGACACACACACACTCACTGACACACACACTCACAGGCAAACATACACACACAGTCAGACACACACACACAAACACACTCACTCACTAGCAGACACACTCACTCACTAGCAGACACAAACACTCACTGACACACACACTCACACTAACAGTCAGACACACACACAATAACAGTCAGACACACACACACTCACTAACAGACAGACACACTCACTAACAGACACACACACTCACTCACTAACAGACACACTCACTGACAGACACACTCACTAACAGACACACACTCACACACACACACACACACACACTAACAGACATACTAGCACACACACTCACAGACACACTAACACACTAACAGACACACTAACAGAGACACTCACACACACACTCACAGACACACTCACACACTCACATTAACACATTTATTTTTTTTAACCCCCCCGCCCCCCTAGCCTCCTTACCTTTGGGAATGCTGGGGGGGGGTTCCCTTTCTCCCTTGGGGTCCAGTGGCTGCTGGGCGGGCGGCTGGCGAGGGAGCACTTCCTCTGAGCGGTCTGCTCAGATCCCTCGCGCGCCTCAGAGTGAGGCTGGGAGCCGGAATATGACATCATCAACCAGGCTCCCAGCCTCACTCTGCGGCGCGCGAGGGAGCTGAGCAGACCGCTCAGAGCAAGGTGCTCCCTCGCCAGCCGCCCGCTCGGCATGTCTGTTAGCCGCAAGGCTAACAAGGCATTTGCCCTGGGCATTTGGGGGGCGGCTTTTTTTGCCGCCCCCTGGAAAATGCCACCCAAGGCAAATGCATTGTTTGCCTTGCGGCTAAAATGCCCCTGGGTAGAATCCATGCCTAAAACATATCAGAGCTGTTTTGGCAGCACGAGGAGGACCTACACAATATTAGGCAGGTGGATTTAATGTTGTGGCTGATCTGTGTGTGTGTGTGTATATATATATATATATATATATATATATATATATATATATAAACAAAAAATAATAAGAGATGCACTCTAAGGACTTATATAATCAATAGAAAAGTATTTATTAAAAAGAAGGTTTACATAATAAGATCGACGTTTCGACCCCTCAGGGTCTTCCTCAAGATCTTGAGGAAGACCCTGAGGGGTCGAAACGTCGATCTTATTATGTAAACCTTCTTTTTAATAAATACTTTTCTATTGATTATATAAGTCCTTAGAGTGCATCTCTTATTATTTTTTTGTTTATATATTCCATAACGTGGGATTGCACCAAGGCACTAAGAAATTAATTTTGAACTGGAGATAGGGTGAGTGCCAAGCTATCTGTTTATATATATATATATACACATATAAAAAATATATTATTTTATTAAAAATTTTTTCCCCTTTATTTTAATCTTATTATTTTTCTTTATCAAATGAAAAGTGTTTGAGTTAATCCATTCAAATGTTTTTGTTGATGATTGTGGAAAACAGAACTATAATTGCTCTATAATTCAGGAGGAAGGTTCAAAAACATGCTAAAGGCATGAATGCTTTGTAAAAAGTCAGGGGACTCATTAACCAAAAGTGTGACTAATTTGCCATTAGCTAATGGAGTTATATATATCTTGACAAATAGTCAAGATGCTTAGTAAGGCAGCAGAAAATCAATACAACTAGCAGAATAACAAGAAATGTACATCTCACAATTCTACGCTGCGATGTTATCAGCGTACAGTATGTATTAGTGACATGCTAACACTGTGTTAAAACAGACACACTGAATATATTGCAAATGGTAACATATACACACAAATTCTATAACAGACATCAGGGTTACTTTAATAAAATAACACTAAATAAAATGTGATTGATGTTTGGAAAAAAAACAAGAAGGAAATATAGGTAAAAAAAAGAACAGACTGTAGACATACCAATAAATGGCAGATCTCCTAAAATTTGCCTATGTTACATGTAGTTTTCCCACAGTCCTCCCAATCACCACATACTGGTTCTGTCACCTGGTGTTGGGAGGAATGAGGTAAAGTGTTTATAATTAAAATTCATGGGATTTACACACAGAGGTATTACAGCTGTGTAGAGGCAGCCTGTCACCCCAGTGATAACACTTCCCTTTTATGCCTGAAACTGCTGATGTCACGGGCACGATATGTTTATTTACTAAATTCTTTAACGCCACTATATTCGCAGTTTGCTATTTCAACTTAAAGGCACACTCCAGACCCCTAAACAACTTTAGTTTGGAGTGTGTCCTCTTTTTTTATTTTAGAAAAAGTGCAGATTCTAATAGAAATTTTAACTTTTTTGAATCATCCTGGTTATGCCCCTTCACTTTCAAACAAATAGGTAACGTTAATTCTTGGTTTGGGTAGCTCAGAGGAGCTAAATTCAAGAAGCAGCAATTGCCCAAAGCACCTGCCTTGCAAACAGTTCTAACTGAGCTGCATTGGGCAGGCTGTGATGACAGAAAGTCTGGGCAGGGTTAGAAGGATCAGAAGAGGAGGGATTGCAAAGGCAGCCGACAAGAGATAGATATTTACCCAAAATGAACAAATACATAGTTAAAGGGACACTGTAGGCACCCAGACCACTTCAGCTTATTGAAGTGGTCTTGGTGCCGTGTTCCTTTTG